ACCCTCCTGGGAAATTAATCCTTCCCTCTGCACCAATGAGAAAATAATTTCCACCCAAAAAGCCTTTTTATAAGAATTCTCAACATAAAGTAACAAAGAAAGCAGAATTATAAGAGCCAAACTTAGCTTATTTATATGATCAACATATCAGGCACATAATGGATCAATAAAAAGAAAACCAGTTTTAATATAAATTTTTGCACAATTTAGTCTCCAGTAACATTCACAATGGCTGTAAAGATAATTCTCTGTGTTAAGCTATCATAATTTAACATGCTAGTTAAAGTAAAAACTTTGGCTGATAATGGATTGTATCCCGCAGAGGATTCAGTTTATTTGAGGTATTTCTGAGCCATGCAGTCACTAGTGGTAATGTCCAAAGTGACAATTAACCAACAGTCAGATTTATGTGGGCAGTTATGAGTAACAAAGCATGATGATCAATCAGAAGGCAGTTAGTTCAGCCAGCCAGTTTGTTTTACGTTTTAGCCCTTTGTCCGAGTGAATGGAGGAATTGTGGGTTGTGTGTGTTTTTATGCAGAAAATGGAGCTAGACTATTGGTAGGAATATGATGACCCAAAAACAAGAATGAAATAGTTGAATAAAAAGCGCTGATTGATACCATGGGGATTAAGAGTGCTGATTAGAAAGATAAATTTTTGTTCTAAAGTTTTGCACCTTTAAAGATTTAGTTACCAACCACACAATCTAAAGATCACCTACACTGTAGTTGCCACCAGTGCAACCCTAAGATCTAATTGCCACCCAAGCAATCTAAAGATGTAGTTGAAACAATGCAATCTAAAGATCTAGTTGCCATCCATGCCATCTAAAGATCTAGTTTTTAACCATGCAATCTAATATCCAGTTGCCAATGATGCAATCTTGAGATCTAGTTGCCAACCATGCGATCTAATATCTAGTTGCCAATCGTGCATATGCAAGTAACCAAATTATTGGAATGAAATTCTAACTGTAGGTAAATTAACCAGTTATCAGACTCATATGGAGATCAGGACCATGTAATAAGGTGAGAAAAGATGTCTTCTATCAAAAAGCATAATTGCTGATAGCAAAAAAACCAGAAGTATGAGGGATCAACGTCTGATACGTCAGAATTATAATGAGGATTGAAATGCACCGATGACAGCATGTCAAAACACACCAATAACAACAAACCAAGGTTCTAAATGACAACACTTAAACTTACAACCTCGTTGCCTGACAAAGACTAGCAGTAAAGCAGTTGGAATGTCACGATCAATACGCGATTATTAGCCTGACTCTTACAATGTGAGACAAACGATTAAATGTTCATTTATAGATTCTAAATCGTATGGGATATTTGAAAACTGGTTTAACTTACGAAATTTAAGATTTATCAGCGGAATTTTATGACGTGGTACGTTTTCCAAATGAAAAATAAACCCTCTGATAAAATCACAACATTCTCTCTTAAAGAGGAATACAGAGATTTCCGTATAGCCCCGTACTATTCGGAAACAAAGTCGTAGTCCCGTTATCGCTTACGCCATTTTTTTCTTTATCCAAGTAAAACATAAGTAAGCATAAACGAGTCGCCCTATGGAGCTGTGCGGAATTTATTAGCTGACTGTTATGTCTTGGTACCTTTGCCTATTAAACTACAAACCTATTAGTCAACCTATGACATTCCCTCTTGAAGAGAAAATTTCAGTCAATAGATTTCCAAATTCCGTTAAATTAATAACCCGAGATGAAATTATCACTCGCTTTCTCTCCTGATATCATTATGATATCAGAGAACATAAAAGCAATTCAAAATCAAACAACTAAATACTCTAATAACTTTCAATTATTGTGCTTCAACTGCGATTCATCGTCATATTTGAAGCATATTTCAAAGTAAATCAGAAAGTTTAGAAGTCAAATTCTTCCCCGCTATATAAGTATGACATTGATTGTATCTTAATTTACTTTGCAGCCCTACCTTATTTTACACTTAATATACATCAAACATTTCTTACCTCAGCAGGGAGAACTACCGACTATACAGGAGCGAGAGATAATAACGAAAAACAACCATAACCTGCGTCTAAACAGCAGATGAACACTCCATTTAAGTAAAAAATCACTTCCGCCCTTCTTTGGCCCAACATGCATTGCCTGGCAGCTAAGCGTTCACTTCTACCAAGACGAACGGAAACCCGATCCAGTTGAACCCATTCGTGATTTGCGTGACTTTAATTTGACAGTGGTCACGATAAGTAAAAGCAAGCGAAATTTGTAAGAAATTGCACAGTATTCCGAGACGAATTGACTGAAATTTCGAAAAGGACGAGGAAAAGGACGCCCTGTGAGGATCCTGTTTTGCCTGTAGAAGGTTTGGCCATTTTCGAAGTGTCCTTTTCGTGGCGTTCAGCCCTCAGCTAGTTAGCCCAGCAAGCGAATTTAATGGACGCGAGAAGCTTCACACTTTTACCGGACAGAGATAAGTCTCTAATTCCTTCTTATGAACACAGATTTAGACCATGGTCTCTATGAATATGAGCAGGGGTTAAGCTCTCATATAATGGTAGCGGGTAGACTTTAGACCCACATTCAGTTTTGGAAATCTATTGGTGCCGGTTCGTTATTTTAGATCTGATTGAGTCAAGATATCGTATCCCTCTTTATTCCATGCCCCCTGTTGGCTTCCCTAATAACAATAAGTCTGCCTCAGCCAATGCGGGCTTCGTTGCAGAAGCAATATCTGAATTGCTACTCACTAATCGTATTTTTGAAACGGATGCTCTACCTCATAACGTAAATCCTTTGTCTGTATCTGTACAGTCCTCAGGCAAGAAGAGCTCATTCTTAAATTTGCGGCTTATTAACAAGCACCCGTGGAAGCAGAGAGTTAAGTTTGAGGATCTTAAGATTGCCTTGAATTTTTTGGATGCAGGTCATTTCATGCTCTTATTTGATATTAAGAGTGGTTAACATCGTGTAGAGATTTTCCCTTCTCACCAGTGTTTTCTAGGGTTTCATGGTATTACAGGGATAAGGTAAGATACTTTTTCTTTCGAATCCTTCTCTTAGGCCTTTCTTCAGCTCCTTATATCTTTACTAAGTTTTTTAGATCTTTCCTCTCCTACTGGAGGCGACAGGGCATTCACTTAATGGTGTATCTTGACGACGGGTTAAAGGAGGCTTCTTTATATTAACCTGTTGCTTGGGATTGTAGCGCGAAAATTACAAGGGATTCGGTTTAGTCTGGTTTTGGTCCTATTTCGGAGAAGTCCCTTTGGGTCCCCACCCCTATCATTGACTGGTTGGGGTTCACTATCGATCTGTGTGAGGACCTACTTGTCGTTCCAGTGAAGAAAATCAAGCGTGTTTTCCCCAACTTTGTCTCGATTTTGGAAACTGGTCATTCTACCGCTTTCTGCTGTTGCCGGTAGACTGAATTCCCTCAACCTGGCGGTGGGAAATGTCACCAACCTCATGACTTAAAATGGTTATTGTTCTTGGAACGAGTTGGGACGTCAATTTACCTTTACCTCCCTCTGTTAGAGAGGAACTCACCTTCTGGAAAGACAATATTAGATTTATGAATGGTAGGCCTATCGGACAGCGGTTTTCCGCGCACAACTTTAGGTGCCCGCTCGTTTCATGCCTCTGTGCCTGCGCTGTGGAACAGCTTGCCTGCGCACATCCGCACGATTGATTCGCTAGCGCTATTTAAGAAATCTCTTAAGACCTATCTTTTTAAGCAAGCGTTTTAGATTCGCATTACAATCTTATCGGTATTTTGTATCTTATTTATTTACTTTTTATTCATTCATTCTTTCGTTATGTATTCATTTACTATCATTATTTTATTTTAGTATTGTTATTGTAATTATCTATTGTAAATAGCATTTTTATTGTAATTATCTATTGTAATATTAGTTTTCTTGGATTGTAAAGCGCCTTTGATCATCCCATAAATGTTAAAGGGCGCTATATAAGTAAATAAATTATTATTATTATTAAATTATTAATTTTTTCTCTTTTTTTCTGTTTTCCTTGACCTCCCTGAGGTCGGCTTTGTCTTGTAGCTTAGTGCGTTTGTAGTCTCGGCGACTATTGCTTGTCTCGTTGGCCATAGCACCGAAGAGCATAGGTTGAATAACTTCTCAAAAGTAAAGGCTACCCTCAACTCTCATGTGCCGTTTCCACAGAAGTATATGATTCAAATACTACTCATCAAGATTATATACGTTTTAAGACAAGCACAGTCCAAGTTGGAAACTTATTACCTGGAAAGGAGTTAAGGACACCACTTAATCAAATAGTTAAGATATAGCTCCAAAGAACATTTGATTATCTTCGAAAATATAACCAAACACTCCCAGTTCAGTAGTTCAGTTTAGTTAAAGTTTCAGCCAGTTTGAACTGAGTATTCCCGATAATTTCCTTCTACAGGCGTTTAACGGTCGAGAAAGGAAAGTACAATGTAGGAGAAAACAGACAACAAAAGGAAATCTTTCCATGTCCTAATCTTTTTATTTTACTGTATTTCATAGTCTATTTATCTTTTTTAACATATAGTACAGTACAAAACTGTGATACTCTACAAATACTCGATTTTAATGCTTGCTTTTACAAATGTATATCAAGACAAAGGTCTATTGAATTTTTATTTGATAAGGGATGAATTAACAATCGGAAATTTTCATTCGAATCCTTTAATGGATCTAACTAAAAGCCTACGTTGGACACTTAGCAGCTTTCTACGTAGTCTTGAACTCGGTTGTCAAACATCTCCGATTTCAAGAAAAGGGGATTTTGCAGGGAAGATCTTATATGGGTGGTAGATCCTTGCTAAATTGATAATATACAGCATCTAACTGGTTACCACTACACCACAGAACTACTGGAATCGCATTAACAATGCCACTGAGACATTTCTCTTCCAATGTCTTCGCCAAACAGCCATAACTGGCACATTCTGATAACGTGTTTCAATAGCAAGAGACACACTTGTGAAAACCGCTCAATCACCAGTGGAACTGAGGTCTAAATGGCAAACTTCATTGGCAAGTTTCAAAAGGAATTGCCTTATAAGTAAATAAATTGAGTAAATAATAACAGACAGTTAACAGAGTATTATGGCAGTAGACTCAAACATCATACTCATGATAGCATTGCCTGCCTTAAGTCTCTCAAGGTGAGGAGTTCGAAAGGTTCCCCAGGGCACTGGGGTTATTTTCCAAGGCTGATAGCAAAAGTGATCGACAACCACCATGGTACTGCGTTCCACAACTTCCGTAATTCGTACTTTACACTTATTAAATTACGTTCTAAATTCTAGTTTAACTTAAACTGGTATTTCAAGAGGGAGCCTCACCTATAAGTCTTCATGGCTTTTCCGGACTTCCTCGCCTTTCCTTTTCCTATTTTATATTTCCCATGTATTATCTATGCAGATTAGCTTTGATTTTCTTTTAATATGTAATAAAGGCAAATGATAAGCAAAAAAATAAATTTCGTGAGTCACTCCAAGCACTACAATGTAAAGCAAACTGTCAAGTTCAGTTTGTAAAAGTCAACACACAACGGTGGCACCAAAGTACAATGGCACCAATAAGATATAAGAATATCCTGGATGAGTGATGTTCCATAATTGCTGAACAAAGATACGCAATTCATTGTTTTTTTTGGAGCAATTTCAATTGGCCGGCAAAAATCATAGTAATTACAACAACCAATAATAACGAACTTTTGCATAGTTATTAGCCAATGAGGAAATACAGGCCAACTACTAAAATTGGGGCAAACGACCAGTCACGATTCTTTTTCGTTTGGCGCGTACTTTGTTTCACACGTTGTGGGAGTTTCTAGACCAATCACAGACCGAAATAAAGAAAACCAAAGCAGTACGGGATTACTTTCTACAATCAGTTAAGAATTATTCCATATCAAAATTTCAATCAAACCACGAAAACTCGATAGCGATTCAGTGACTTAAGCTCATCCAAACCGAAAAACCTGCGACCTCTAAAAAGCTGTTTCATCTAAAGCTTACTTTTTCAGTTTAAAATAGAGTTTCGTGAAAGAAGTTCCTAAAAATTTCGCAGTTTTCTCTGGTTGCGTTCACTTTCTTCGTAAATGTTTCCTGGTCTGTAGTCATAGGCGCCGAAAAACTTTATTTCAGTCTGTAAATGCAACAAAAAAAATAAACCAAAATTAATGAACAAACATTTCACATTTCCCAGGAAATGGTTCTCCGCATTGTGATTGGAATTCAGAATGTTAATTTATTAAGAAAAAAAACAGGGAGAACCTGTTGAAGAACGCCGAGAGAAAAGGCGCGGATCAACAAAAATCTTAGCCGACATGAGAAGCAAGGTCCTGGATATTACCCAACCACAATGGTGGGAAGCAAGTGTTCTAGCAAAAATACCTTCCCTGGTCCTCAGATGCATTCAGCAAGTGTGATTCGTGAATACCTCTGACTTAAGCTTGTATGCTTTACAATGTTCTCCCACCACTAAATGACTTTTGTTTAAATAAAAATAGCATTTCTTAATATTATTTAAGAACCAGATGAATGAATACATCATTCGCTTTACAGACGTTTTCTTCCGTTGCCAAAAAGATCACTTCAGTAAATCCGCTATAATTTCTAAAAACCACTGGGAATATAAAAGAAAAAAAAAATAAAGGTATTGTTTGTAGTTTGTTTTATGATCATGCACAACTCGTGAAACGGTAGTAATGGTTTCAAGTCACTAAAGACACTGGTGTGTTTTACCAGAAGGAAAGTGGACAGCTTAATTTATTCTTACAGTTATCTCTGAGAAAGATCAACAAACTAACCATGGTAGTGACTCGAGAAGCGTGAACAGTTCCAGGATTAACCCTTCGACGCAGCTGGTGCTTTCCGCAAGAAACATAAGGTTTTCGAATTTCGCCACTGATGTTAATCGATCTTCATCACTATCAAATTGAAAGGCATGTGACGTGCGCTTTTCCCTTCTTACCTTGTATGGGTTGAAGACTGACATAGTGCACCTCATGAATATGTCCCAGTACTAGTGGCTTGCTTTCATCAACAGGATCATGTGGCCTGATGTCTACATCATTGTCTAGACTGCTGACCACATGAATGCACGTTTTAAAGAGATTTGCTGCTGTACAGAGAATGAGGTGATCACCCCAAGCGCCATCTTGTTCCATATATGCTAAGTAATCAGCCCATGTTTCATGGCCATGGACAAAGTGAAACAGATCTGTTCCATCCGGCTGTAAGAAGAGACAGCCATTAATACTTGAATACCAAATAGCTATTCGAAAAGGGTCGAGCATAATTCAAGGAAATCTCCCGAGAAAACAACTTCTTTACAGTGGAAACGTCAGTGAAAACTTTTTTAACGCTTTCAACGCGGTGGGCAAACAGCAAAAGCTAAAACAAACATCACCTAACTGTCCCACCACAAGAATCTAAATGGGCAGCGGCGGTTGCGTCTCAATATGATCGCTGACCCATTCAGTGACAGACAGACTCGCCATTAACATATTACAATTAAACATTGAGCCTTTCATAGGTACCATCACAACTCTAAAAAATGAGAATTTAAACAAATGCGACTATGCGAGTACAATGTAAACTAAGTCAATAAATAGAGAAAACCAAAACATTCTGTGTAGGAAGAACATCTTTTAGACTAGTATGAAGGACTTCAAAACACATTTCGCCTTATTCAGAGCCATGCTAAACTGACGGTAGCTCATTGATGCTGAATTGATTCTGAAATAAATATTTTTCCAAGCTTGCGACTTACATAACTAAGTACAACACTCTACCAGAGAGTCCATTTGAATTAGATGAGAAAGTGAGCAGAGACTACGTTGCCTACCGCTTGAGGTACTGAAATCCACTATAACAGCTTTCGACAAAATCCTATTTAGAGTGACTTTATTATCGTGCTTTAGGAGAAGACACCTCACTGTCAAAGTGCCTCTCTCCACGAGTATAAAAGTTGTGGAACAATTGTCAGGCCAACCTCAAAAAATGCTTGAAGAAATCTGGTGTGAAAGGGACTAGTATCCTTGCAAGGACGAGTAGCACTTCAAGTAACGGAGAGAGAAAGAAACACAGTAGCCAAAACTACTGATCAACCTCTAGTTCTTTTTCTTTATGAGAATTACAGCAACTCACCAGTTTTGGGTTTTCCATGAGGTACTGAACTAAAGACTGTCTCAACTGGCCATATTGGATTTTGATTCCTTTTACGATTTCTAGTTGTTCTGACAAGGCATGGAACATACAGTTTCCTGACCCTTGATTGTCAGAAATTCTGAGGCCCTTATCTGATACAATCGTCGTTAACTCTTCTGTCAAGGTAGTGCTGTTGTTAACCGTGCTTGCGCAGAGTTGCATCCGCTGAAGATTCTGAATAGTTCGTTCAAGCAGCCCTAGAACCAAAATAATTTTTGGTGAATTTCCTTGAATCATACAATGTAGATGGAAGGGAAGGTTTCAGTTATGACAAAGAAAAAATCACATAAAAGACAGAATTTTCAGTTCACCGTGAATATTTTTTAACCCACTGAGAACTCCATCGGTATCGCCATGGCAAGCTGCGTGAAACTTGTATATGATCTGACTCGGCCCGAACTCACTGTTAGTGAAGAAATATCCGCCCAAATCAGGGGTGAGAGCGACACTTATCCAATCGGGTACTCAGATCTCTTTTTTATGAAGGGCGGTGCCCTCAAATGAACGAGATCTTTCCTTATCAGCAGGATCATGTAGGGAAAAATATTTCATGAGAACACAAATTGCTCTTCTTTTAGCTGCAAGGGAAGACTTTAAAAATTAAAAAGTACGAGGAGTTCTCAGTCAAGTCCTTCGGAAGACAGGCCAATGACTTGATATATATTTACCAAACACTGTCTTTTCATTTGAGAATGGGAAACAGTATTGGGATAAAACGTCGCGGGTAATATTCTAGACTTGTCATTTAACATTCTTCATTGCTACGTTTTTCCTTTTTTTCGTTAAAAAAGTAATTATGTCGCAAAGAAAGCAATAATTGCTTGTAAATAACCGGAGCAGATGACTTTTGACCTGACCTTATGACAAAATGTTACATTTGTCCCACTAAAACATTAACTTTTTGGAATACACTCACATCAAAAAAGATCATGAAACTTGGGATGGGTAAAAGTGGTTTTACAGGTTCATTTCTTTTGCTTTTTCCTATTCACTCTTATCAGTTTGTACAAACCATTTCCTTTTTGGCGAACATTGGTGACTTACACCAAAACTTACAAATTCTCTTTCATATTATATTATAAAAACCTACTTCGAGGTACAAGATGTATTCACGTCAATGACAGGATAAATTTGGAATACCACAACCAAAGACAAGTCTACGGAAAGAAATAGAAAAATCATCAACATACCTGCGCCATCAACTTTGTCCCACATCTTATCAACAAGAAGGTCACATTGTTTCTTCCAGCTGAACTGCTCCTCATAAGATGCTCTCAGTCGTTCAATCTCTTTAAGACGCTCTGGTCTCTTCTTCTTTCGGACAACAGCAATTGCCTCAGCCCACACCTTGGGGTCCTCAGAATCAACCACAAAAGATTTGCCGGATGGTACAGAGCGCAGAGCGTCTCCGAAACCTGAGTTTCCACTTACAAGAATGGGAAGACCAGCTGACAAGGCTTCCAACGCGGTTAAGCCGAACCCTTCCGTGCGGGATGGCATGATACAGAGATCAACTTCACAAAAACAATCTTTCAATTTCTCTTTGCTTTGCAAAAACCTTCTCACTGTCAGCTGACGTTTAGAAATACCATTCTGCAACAAATTTTCCGTAACTGCCTCCTGTTTGTCATCAGGTGCACCCACAAAGATCAAATGGTAGGAGTTGTCTTTCAGCTCAACCACTGCTTTAGCAGCGATATCATACCCTTTAAGACCGAAGTCCTCAGGGTCACCACGACCAAAGGTCAACACCCTAAACTTTTCAGAGTCAACTGAGGCTTGATTTAGAGTAGAAAACTCTTTGAATGTACCAGGAGTGAACGACATAATATCTTGCTGCTTTTCACATGAGCGAAGATAGGCAGAGTAGGCTTCCGTCAACTTGGGTCCCACCGGAACAACTAGATTTGCCAATTTACACAAATCTACTTCGGCTGTAGTCTTCTCTTCTCCTCTGGCAATGGCTCTCGGATAGGTTTTGAACATTCCGAGCTCTTCAGGCGCAGTATGCACTACTTGTACCCACTGGCAACTATGGTACTTCCTGATGATTTGGGCTTGCTTACCTAACTTGGCTCCATGACCCACAACCACGTCAATTATCAGGTCTTCCGGAGGGAAGCTCAACCAGTCAAGAGGGTCATAGCCTGGACGTCTCTCTGCTTCTTTGATGACAATCTTGTGACTTTCTGCAGCTCTCTTCTCTTCTTCAGAACAAGCAAATTGTGGGACCAAGAGAGTGACTTGCACCTCGCTACGTTTGGCCATAAGGATGGCAAGGTGTCTGTTGATGGTGGACAAACCCCCCCTTGATGAATTCCACTCACTGGCCAGAAGAGTAACTTTCAAAGTTTTGTCGCACTTTGCTGGGTGACCACCTACTGATGCAACTTGTGAGGTTCTTGTCACTGACGGAGCCAAATCCTTTTGGATGATGACATCAAAACATCATTATACAGGAAATGTATGTCATTTTACAAGTACGATATATAAAAATTGTTTTAACTGAAAAAAACTACTTTTGTTAAAGAAAACTTGTCTTCTTCTTTCCCTTCACGAAAGTATAAACCAGACAGAACGAAACGAACTGGTTGAATGCGTTCAAACATGTCTTGAATCACCCAAAAAGTTAGTTACGCAATTGCAAAACATACAACTTCATACAGCATTTCCATTGCTGAATCACTTTAGGATCTATGACACTATCATATCTCAATCTGTACAAATATTTTCTAAATTGGGTATTCCGATTCATACGACTGCCATCGCACAACTTGAGCATAACAGCCATCATAATCTCTTCTTAATTGGTTTCCGTTACTACTTATAAAGATATACCAAGAATGCTTCATACCTGGTACAACAACCATTTTTCTTGTCCAGGAACTGTTAGTACTTTATTAGACATGCTTTCCATGCAGATCAAATCCTGACCTTGTCTTAATTCAAGCAGGTGTAAGCAGTCTTCTTCTCCACAGGACACTTGGTTGTGGTTTACGCACTTGCGACCACTTTGCTGACAGTAGGGGCATTCAACACAAAATTCATGCTGCATCCTGCTCAGGTATGGGAACTCCTGCGACATCTTTTCTAAAGTGCTCTCCATAAACAATCGCACATTTCTAGCAACCTCTACTAAAGTTGCATTAGAAACTGCAACTACGTTCCTCTTAATTCTTTGTCTCAAGAGGATTTTTATGAACTTCTTTTTGCAAATCATAATCATGTCATGTATGACGCGTTCTTCAAGAATGAACCATGCACCATTCTGGTAGAGTTTTGGAGGCTGTGACGATCCATTTGCACCACACCAAGCAACCGATTTTGAAACAAGGCGAGTAAAAAGACCATGCGGAACAAAGCCTTCTTGGAAATGAAGATACAAAGGACAAGGATCCGTAGATGATGGTTCCATTTTACAAAGCTCTTCAGGTGAGGACCTCAGTTGACATGGCACAAAGTAATAAACGTCAGCCGGGGATGGCGAGTATTTGGCAATCAAACAAAACTGCTCCATCATGTCCAAGATGTCTTCCTTGATAACGCCTTGCTCAATAAGAGGGGAAAAAACGTGATCAACAAGCTCCATCGTAAGGACACCACTTGTCTCGAGTTGCAGCCAGTACTTGGAATGCACAGGATCCTGAAACCACAAATTCCCTATTTGAAATAAGTTCAGTCTACCAATTTTTCTTTAAAAATGCCCCATTTAATTTGCAGCGGACCAAAAACATCTCTCCTTTCCTCATTACTAAGGGTTCAATGAGTGGTAAAATGTAGTTGGCAAGCCTCCCGAAATGAGTCAATATAATAAGAAAAATCTTGTTATTCATCTCTAATTAGTTTATTGAATTTCCCCCTTACCTCCCCACCCTCAAACGATGTCGTAATAAATTAGTGACCATTTTGTCAATATTGAAATGAGGGAGAGTGAGAGACACATGAAAGTTATGGAGAAAACTCAAAATGTTGTAAGGGGTGTAAACAACGTGAAAAAACAAACGGACAAACAGTCAATTAAATTAACATTTTTTCGTCAAGCGCAAGTTGGGGGATGGTAAAAAATCCTGCCTACGATCTGCAATCATCTCGATGCATAGAAGATTATCTTTTCCTACCGCTTTTTTGAATGCTGGTATGGTTATAAGCTTCTTGAATAGACTGATTAACCACTGTGCCTTCAGAATGACTGTACTGCGGTGTTTCACAATCAAACCTAAGTCGTGATAGAAATTCAACATGGTGTGAAACTGTTCATCGTCTTCTATAAAACATACATCCTTGGCATAGGTTTGAAGATGGACAGTATTTGAGTGGTATACATTCTCAGCTACCAAAGCTTCAATGACCTTTTCGAAGTTAAACCATCTAGAAATATAAAAAAATTTGTAATTAGTCCTAACTTACAAAAAGGTATGCATAAATCGTTGTGGAAATTGGTAAAATATGCTCATAGTGTAAGCATAAAATGGTAGAATGAAGTAAGCAGCGAATTCAGCATATAAGTAGCGCACATGTAGCGAACTTCAACGTAGCGAACTCAACAAGAAGCGAAACCAGCTGTGAAAGCCATTCGTAAGTTTCAGTACAGCTGTTGTTAGAGAAAAAAATGAGCTGAACATCTCTTGTGCTTATATCATTACACATCATACTTCACCTCACTGGTATCTTCTCTCCCATGTAAGGTTCCTTTCGAATTACTTCCAGGATTCTCGCTCGAAGAGCATGAATTCCCTCGGCACTAGTGCCATCATTGTCTCCTTCTTGACCTTTCAATTATAAATTATGCGAAACAATTAGTGCTTGTGAGAGAAGCCAGGGAGGGGCAAAGATTTCTCCTTGGACTTTCGATACGAGTTCGATGTGAACTAAGACCATAATCAACAGTTTCGTATTCGGAAAGTTCTATTTCTACTGCAGCACTTTAAGTCACTTTTTTGCAATGGATGATAACTTTCATTAGTTGAAGACAATTTGGTCGGCGTGAACATTTGTTGTGTTATTTAATATATAATCTATGTTAATAGAAAAAAAAACGAAAAGAAAATAGAGAAAATACATATTAAAAAAATCAAAGAATTATCGAAGCATTAAAAAGGTACCAACATCAAAAGTAGATAAATATTCACATTGAAACAAAAGGATGCTAGCAGTAAGATGTGGAAAAGCAACTGGTAAATCTCCAGTGAATCCAATCAACTTTATCTAATGATGAGTTTGTCTGTCCTCCATAGAAATCAAAGTAAACTTAACCACATTAACACATTATGTTGAACCCAAACACCTGATTTACCTGCTTGACGATTTCTTTGAAATTTAAAGAAATTCCGCAATTTCCGTCTGAATGATTTGTCTCCTTGAGTGTTATCAATGTAGAAAAATGGTCGGATCACATGTTTTCCATATTCCTTACTGGAAAGCTCACGAATTATCTTGGATGTAACATCCTTGGTATCTTCGCGTGGCTCGTCAGCATGGGTGCCGACGATGAACACTGGAGGTCGGAGATAGGGCAGCACGTTAGGCGTTTCAACCATTTCTTCTTCAGTTGGTCTCATATTATGAACTGTCACAAGCCACGACAGCAGATTCTCTAGATTTGTCTCATTGCTCGGGTTCTCCAAAGTTACTTCATGAGTTCCCTGTCTGGCATATGGCTGAGCTCGGGCATTCAGTGGCTTGCTGAGGTTGTGAACGACGATGTACACAGCTCTTGACGAAAGAAATACCGGGTGAGCAGCATAGTACACATGTTGACCCGCAAAATCCCACACATCTGCGGTTATCGTGGATCCTTTCTCGATGTATGCACTATCAGCATCCACACCTTCAATGATCATGTTCTTTAGGAGTTCATCAGCCTGTTTTTCAACGGCATTAGGAAGTACGCTGGCGTTGATAGCCATTTTGGACTTTGTGCTTAGATTATATCCTTCATGAACTTCGCTTAACGGCCCAGATCTATCTGGAAACTTAGTGGCCGGATCCTCGTACGTGGAAACCTAAAATTTTGAAATAAGACAAAATATCACTACAGTGGATACCAAATTGCGTTAGAAACTGCATGATTGATGCATCTCCATTTACACAGTAGATTTCGATCTACCTCGTCATGTCAAAACAATGAAATGAGCATTAAATGTGTGAATTCGTTTGAGATCATTCATAAAAAGTCGAGTTTCAGAGTAAAAATATAGTAAACGGACCTGATCGGCGACAACATGTTTTGTGTGCAATTCTTCTCCTGACTCCACTCTGTGTTCTTCCTTAGGCTGTGCCCCTACTGATTTCATTTCCGAGTCTTCCTTCTCATCACGAACAATCGCGTGATACCTTTCTGTCGCTAACAGTTTTGCTATATCCGTTGTATATTCCAAACATTCAGACAAACTTGACCTGTTCGCTCAACAAGGTGTCCAGTTCTTAATTTGCTTAACTTCAATTTCGAACTTTGATGGCTCAATTTCGATCCCGTCCGTACTCTGTTCCTTGGAGTCAAATGGCAGACCTAAGAGACTCTTCTTTAAACTTGTTTTACCGGCACGATCCTGGCCAACCAATATTATGCGACCACGATAAACGTTCACAAATCCATCTCTAAGGGCCTCTTCATAAATCAGTCTTGCTGAATGTCCTTGCGCCAAAATATCGGGAGGAGCTACAGCTGCAAGTGAGGGAAAAGAAAAATTTAATATTTCAGTAATTGCCTATTGTAGAACAGTAAAGTGAGAAACAAAGAACATTTCTACGATACATCACGACCTTGTGGAGGGTGATACATGTAATACAAGGAGCATATTACTAAAATTAACTTCCATGAAAGTCATATCAACTTTTGGAAGATTAAATGTTTCCGGTAGAAGAGAAAATGATGTTTTTTAAAATTTCAGGTAAATCTGTCACATAAGACTTCCTCAACATTTTCTTGTCGTAAAATAGTGACGGGATTTTTCGTCTTTCTTGCACTGTGAGCTTTCAAGCCGGGTTCTTTTGTACCATTTTCAATTTTAAATGCTTGGAAAAAGGTTTGTAAAGTACACGAACACTGCACTCAACAACAAAACCAGCCTGCTTCCGACGGTTACGCTTTTTTCAAGTGCACACCCCGAGACTCTATAGCCAGAACGATCGGTTGGCAAATTTGAATTAAACATTCCCCCAAAGGGATTATCAGACGAAGCTTGCAACGATTCATACTAGCATCAATCCTCATAAGAAATAAAATAGTAAGTGAAGGTTGCATTTTTAAGTGTACAATCGACTCTCGTCCTACGAACAGCTCTCTATTACGGACACCCTACGATTGCAGACAAGAGGCATCCCCCGGAGAAACGCACAAAGAGTTGACTGAAATATACTCCCGCTATTACGGACTCTCGCTATTATGGAAATGCAGACACTTTCATAACCCCCAGAGCTCATTTCACTTGTTTTTCTCTTGCTATAGCGGACACTTCGTCCAAAACCCTGACTCACATACTATAAAGCGACATTACTATAAGGAAAATAAAGAAACCATTCTTTAATTGGGTGCGAGCATGAAAATTTCCTGCTTAATTGCGGCCAGATCTTTTTCCGGTTGGTGAGGCAATGTTAGAAACTTTATTTTTGCCTAGTTACATATTATCTCATATGTTTGGAGACAAAACAATTTTTTTCTCTCGTACCCCGCTATTACGGACTCTCGATCTTACGAACACGAAATCTGCCCCCCCCTCTCCCCCGAGGGGGTGTCCGCAATAACGGGAGTCGACTGTATACGTATACTTCAAATTGGATCTCTACGCGAAGATGGAAAGAAAGGCTTCACCTACTTGAAGCTCTAATCTTTATAAAGAAATTACTTCAGAAACTCTCAATTGAGATAAAAATCACCACAGCGCTAGAGACATACAATCCTTAGTCCGAGATAACATTGTGCTCGAGTATGCTAAAGATCTATTGCCATATATTCATGTAACACTACCTGCAATGTCTACGGAGATCGATCTTGTCGTCGTATCCACATGCTTAATAAGACTTCTTATCTCTACTAGAGTGAGCGGATTTCCTTCAACCAATAGTTTCTTAAGTTCAGGCAGTTTTCTAACCACATCAAGTACCTTCAGTTGGTTATTTCTCAAGTCCAGCTCTTGAAGTCGTTTCAAGCATCCAATACTTTCAGGCAGAGAGGACAGTCTGTTGTTATTCACATATAAGCACGTCAGGTTGATCAATTGTAGAAAAATATCAGGTAGCTTTTCAAGACGGTTGTGGCTCAAATTCAGCGATAGGATATTTCTAAGTGAAAAGTTCTCTCGTCTATGCAGAAACTCCCCTATGTCATAAATCCACGGATGCCAGTCCAAATTTCTCCTACTCAGATCCAAAGTTTTCTCTCCGAGAGCCAACGTTTCGCTGATAACGGATAAGGGCACAGTTAAACGTTTCGCTACAAAATAGAATGATCACAAAAAACTAAGAACCAACTGACAATTCCCTGTCAGCTTTGCCCCTCTGCATTCTGAATAATACCTACACCTATAACACAAAAAGTATTTCCTCAAGAACCATCCCCGGAAACCTTAATTAACAGAAAAGAAGTGCAGGAGTTTCACATTAAGAGAACTAAACACAGCTTAGGAAAATTGATATAACTGGTATAGGTAACAGGAGCAACCTAGTTTTGACACTAGGAACAAAACCTCGCACTCCATTTTTCTTCTAGCAAACATAAAAACAATTATGCTATTGATAATTTTTTGTCTTTTTTCCACGGGGAGAAATGACAATACTGCTAGTTATCCAAGCTCATGTTTCATAGAAGCAGCCACTGGTACAACAGACATACAATTGTAACAAACAGATTCTCACAGTTACCCTTTCAATTCAACTCTAGTCAGAAACCTATATTCAATTATTATTATTATTTTTTTATCTTAAGACGAACACTTGACTGCAAAAATAATGTGATTTCTGTCAAGGCCTATCCACTGAAAGTGTTCTCATCTCCATTAACGAGTGCTAATTGGAAAGAAGTGTCCCACAATGGTCATTCTGCAGGAATGGCGTTAATAGACTTTCTGAAGCTTTCTGCAATGCTTTACATTCAATGTAATGGCGCAAGCTCCAAGCTATCAGTAAGTCTGGCTTCATAAAAGAGTGGAGTATGTGATAATTTACAAAGTATTCTCTATTAAATTATATTATGATAAGTGGTTGCATATTTTCTTCCGTCTGTGTCGGCCTTTAGCCGACGCATATTAAGGAATCCCCTTTCAACCCAGGTTTTTTACAAAACCAGTTGGAGAGTATTGCAATGCGTGCAAAGCGTATCATTTGACAAAGACACCCTGTGAGAAAACACATCTACTTAAAAAAGCAGTATAATTGATAAGGCAGGTTGTTGGGAGATGGGGAGGTGAAATGGTTTGAACCCTAAACCACAGATAGAGAGGTTTTGGTTCAAAACCCCAAGCTGCATCATGCTGAAATAATCATGATTAACTCTAGCACCTGATATACCAATGGACTCAAGTGCAGACTTTACCGTCAGTTTGTCAGACACATCAATGAATAGGGTAATTTAGTATTATCAACTGAGTTGATAGCGTAAATTGGCCACCGTCAAGAGTTTAAAAGCTCACATTTCCAGCGTTAGCCCTTCGTCAGAGCGACTGGAGATTTTTCTAGAGTTTTGAGGCTTTCCGAACTGTCTAGATATAGGGAAGGGCCGCAAACTGCCATATGCTGCTCAGAATGGTTAGCGAGATTAAAGTGTCTAGCGACTGGTTAAGATGCGCCTTTGTTATTTCTTTCTACTTCGCGAAGGTGTTCTCGGAATCGGTCACTTAGTCGTCTTCCAATTTTTTACCAATGTACAACTTTTCGCAAAAAGCTATACATTGGTGAAACATCTTTCAAATCGACAGTGTTAATCCCTACGGCCAGTTAAATAAAAGCGCTCGTTGATGGCCAATTTACGTTATCAACTTAGTTGATAATACTACTGAGAAATTACGCTGTTATATTCCACCAATGAAATAGCAACAAAGTTTCTTTAGAAACCTACCCCCTTTAGATCAATGAATAGTCAGTTCTACTCACCTACTTCAAAGAAAAGGTCTCCCACATTTTCGCCTGTTCGTGCTGACACTTCCATAAAAATCTCAACAATACTGTTTACATCTGCAAAAAGGTGAGCTTCCTGAAAGAACAAAATATAAAGTCGAAATCTCCCACCACAAAATAACAGTGTGTGTGAGCTGCATTCCTGGAATAACTCCGAGTTAATTTTGGGAATATAAGGAAAAGAAATATAGTACACCATTGATTACCAAAAAAATGGGTCTAATCAATTTTTTTTTAAGTTAAATTTTTACAAGAAAGCCTGGTAAGAGAAGTCTTGAGAAGCACTGTTGTTATTAGTAGTGACTGTCTTTTTTGACAACCTGAGCGTCAGTCATCATCAAAGTTCAAGAAGGAGTTTTGGTGAAATGATTTAATTCTGTCCCCTGAAAACTAATTCGTTACTTTTGCTGCGATGTCATTGACTGTGACAATCGGGTAACATGATTCCTTCGTCATTCAACCGTATGTGAATTAACTCATTATTTTCTGTCCTAAAAACAAAAAAGGTAAACAAGAATAGATCATTCTAATAGGTCGCTTTGTTACGTCAATGTTGTGAAAAGGTTACTTGCGAGGTGCCAACGTCAGATTGTTGACATATGCCTGGTGAGCATGGTGTTGTTGACATTACTTACCTTAAAAGACACCTCCCTTCTACTTTTAAGATCTGCTTTATTCCCCACAAGAGCTACAAAGGCACCTGGCCTGGCCTCTTGAGTGAACGCATAAACCAACGTCATTGCGTCCTCAAATGAATGTCTCTGTGTTATGTCATACACAACAATAGAAACATTTATTGGGTGATAATTAGGATAAAAAGTGAAGAGCCCTTTCAAAGCAGCAGGATTCTCTATGTTAAGGTTCACCATCACGTCTTGATCCAGACTTACTCTTTTACGATACCAATAGATGCGCACTAAAAAGAACAAATGAACAAAGATTAAAACTTAGATCACTGAACTTTCAAAAAAATCATATGATTTGCTTTCATGCTCATTGTTAAACGTTTTCTTACCTGCCTCAGAATGGATGAAGTGACAATGATTCCCATTAACATATGTGTGCAGCAAGTGCAATTTACCCACTTTGCACCCTCCTGTTTTAAAACAGAGGTGAAAAACAAAAATTTATGGAACCTGAACACAAATTACAATGATCCATGTATTGTCGACATATTTTTTGAATATGATGTAGAGTGTAATGGTCAGCAATAAAATTACATACTTGAACTTGAAAAGCTTTCAACTTTTGAAAGAAGACATCAATCAATCAGTAATAGTTATTTTCTGTGACACAACCATGAAAGTATCTAGTAACTTTAACAATCAAAATAATCAAAATATTACATGCATATAGGAAACAAAAAAAAATTAAAAAATGAAGTTATACTGATAAATTGACCAGTAATTAGATTAATTTGTTTGCACTCACCATTAACTCTCAAATAAAATGTCAGTTGTGGAATTTCTATATCAATGAAGTTAGATTCCATCTGTGAACATCAAGAATGATACAAAGCCTTCATAATACAACAAGTGACTTTGTGACTCTAAACGTTGTTCAATGAAAACTTAAGGAATCCCCCTCTTTCTTCTTCTTGGGCAAGTAAACATTTACTAGTTAACTAAGCAAGTTGCTTAAGCAGGGTGCTTTAATTATTATAATCATATGAAAACAAAAAAACAGTCAAAACATTTGCCATAAAATAACAATATAAAGGAAAGAGTTGATCTCCACTGTAACTTAAAAATACATAAATAGACACAGGTTAGTAAAATCATTACTTCCAGTGGCAACTATATAGTTTAAATAATTTGGGTTTTTTTCCTCAAAATTCTTTTTTAACAAAAGAATTATAGAAAAGAAGTCAGAACAAATTGATCTATAACAATCAAATATATGTTCCAAACCATCTTGATCCGGAATTTGAAATTACAAACTACTAACAAAATAAATTCCATTAACTAGGTTCCACAAAAAGTTACTTGTATAAAAGCCTCACCCATAGCCTCCCTCAAAGAAAGTTTAAGGTGGTGCCTCCCTCCCCTTCATTATTTTCCAGCAAGCAAATAAAGTTCTTTTCCTATACTTGATTGAGTGCATTATTTTTCATAATACTTCTATATAAACAAGTGGTTTGAATAAAACAGTAGAAAGGGATGTTGGATGACAGCAAGTAAAATGGTTTATTTTCTATGATCTAGAGGTCACTACAGGAGGAATTAAGTTCTGTTGTCTCACCCTCCTGGGAAATTAATCCTTCCCTCTGCACCAATGAAAAATTAATTTCCACAGAAAAAGCCTTTTTTATAAGAATTCTCAACATAAAGTAACAAAGAAAGTAGAATTATAAGAGCCAAACTTAGCATATTTATATGATCAACATATCAGGCACATAATGGGTCAATAACAGAAAACCAGTTTTAATATAAAATTTTGCAAAATTTAGTCTCCAGTAACATTCACAATGGCTGTAAAGATAATTCTCTGTGTTAAGCTATCATAATTTTACACGCTAGTTAAAGTAAAAACTTTGACTGATAATGGATTGTATCATGCAGAGGATTCAGTTTATTTAAGGTATTTCTGAGCCATTTAGTGACTAATGGTGATGTCCAAAGTGACAATTTACCAACAGTCAGATTATGTGGGTAGTTATTAGTAACAAAGCATGATGATCAATCAGAAGGCAGTTAGTTCAGCCAGCCAGTTTGCTCAACTGGTTGCTTTCAAGTGACTATGCTCTGTTTATTTGCAATTATTTAATCAAGGATCTTTTCATCTATTTGTTTAGTTCCATTACCTAATATCTTTCATTTAATTATCACCTAAAAGTGCTTTTGTAGCTCCGAAAAAAATTAATCATCTATTCTCCAAAAGTTCTTTAGTAACCCTCGGTGACACCACAATGCACTACCTTTCCTGAGCCCTAATTACTTGGGGAGTGGTATGGAGAAGAACCCCTGGCTCTATGGAGCCATTCACATGAGTCCAGCCAACTGTGCTGGCTCATCTTTTGAGATCTAATCTTATCATTCTCTCCTTAACTAAAATACAATGTCAAAAGTCATTCCTCATCCATGCCACTAAGTCTAGTTGCCAACCATGCAATCTAAAGATTGAGTTAAGGGATATAAATTTGTAAAGAAACTCTGGTGCTGCCTAAGTAGGAGAGTATAACTAAGTAATTTAATATTATAAACTGAGTTGATAACACAAATTGGTCACCATAGAGAGTTTCAAAGCTGATGTTTTGAGCACTAGCCCTTTGTCAAAGTGAATGAAGGAATTTTGGGTTCGCTGTGTTTTATGCAGAAAATGGAGCAACACTGTCAGTGGGAATATGGTGACGAGGAAACAAGAATAAATTGGTTGAACAAAAAGCACTTGTTGGTGCCATGAGGATTAAGAGCGCTGATTTGAATAGATTTTTGTTCTAGAGTTTTGCAACTTTAAAAATTGAGTTGCCAACCATGTAATCTAAAGATCATGTATACTGTAGTTGCCAGCAGTGCAACGTTAAGATCTAGTTGCCACGCATTGTAATCTAAAGATGTATTTGCAACCATGAAATCTAAAGGTCTAGTTGTCAACCATGAAATTTGATATCTAGTTAAGATCAGGATTATGTAATTAGGTGAGAAAAGATGTCTACACAGCAACAAAGTGGACCTACAAGGGAACAATGTCTAAAAGTTGGACTAATAATGAGGGTTGAAATGCACCTATGACAGCATGTCAAAACACACAAATAACAACAAAACTAGGTACTATAGATAGCAACTTAAACTTTCAACCTCACTGCCTAACAAAGACTAACAGTAAAGCAGTTGAAATGTCATAATCAATACACAATTATTAGCCAGACTCCTACATTACGAGACAAATGATTTAATGTTCATTTATGGATTCGTAATCATAGGAGATATTTGAAAACTTGTTAACTTATAAAATTTAAGATTTATTAGCGGAATTTTATTTACCAAATAAAAAATAAACCTTAAGATATAATAGCATTCTTTCTTACAGAGGAAAACAGATATTTCCGTATAGCCCCGTACTATCCTGAAACATAGCCGTATTCCCGAAGGCAACTTATTGTTTATGCCACTGTTTTCTTTATCCAAGAGCTGTATGCATAATAAAGTCGCCCTATGGAGCTGTGCAAAATTATGAGTTGACTGTTATGACTTGGTACCTTTGCCGATTGAACTACAAACCTATTAATCGAACCATATCATAGCATTCCCTCCAGAAGAGAAAACTTCACTCAATAAATCCCAAATTTCTGTAAATGAATTGCCCGAGATGAAATTATCACTCGCTTTCTCTCCTGATATCACAGAACATAAAAGCAATTCAACATCAAATAGCTAAATACCCTGAAAACTTTCAATTGTACTTCAACTACAATTTATTGTCGTACTTGGAGCATATTTCAAAGTGAAATCAAGATGCTTAGTAGACGAACTCTTCCCTGATATATAATTATGTATGGCATTGATTACATCTTCAGTTAACTTTATAGCTCTTCCTTACACAAGGCTGTGCTCTATTTTCAGGGCGCCCTTCGGGCGCCTAACCATGACAAGTAGGTCGCCCAGGTCGCCAAATATGGTGCTGATAAACATCTTGCATGCCACGGACGAAGCTAATTAAATAAACACAAATTTGCATAGAGGATGGTTTCGTTTTATTAATCAAGCGCTCCACTATTGAAACTGTTGAAACACAAAAATTAAATATAAGCATCAACCACTTCAATAGAAAAATTAGATCTTCAACACATGCTTGTGCAAAAATCGTGCAGTTTCTCACGGGCAAGGAAAAAATAATTTTTTACATGACACAGGCGACAACTTCTTCTTGTTGTCCTGCCGAATATTTTTTAGTTCTGCAAATGTCATCAAATTAGCAAGTAAAATTATAAAATGTTAGTTACAATCAGTTGCTCGCTTTATCGCGTCGTTCAATGGACAAGAAACCTGGGCCATGTACTATATTAATAAACTGGAAGAGAAACCACCGAAGCGAAACAAGACCCATGACCTAACACAGGCTATTGATTGCACTGCGCTTTCAGCGCTTTTGCTTTTCAGGCTAACGGGAGCCAGGGAGCACGATGGAGTTTCTTTTTGTTTCGTTCCGTTCCGTTTCTATACTTTTGCTGGTTTCGTTTCGGGTTTTCACACAAGCCGAAATCTATGCGCCCGAACGGGCGACCGCTTTTCTTTTTCAGTCGCCCGAGACCAAATGTTAGTCGTCTAAGGCGACCGGGCGCCGCTAGAGCACAGCCTTGTTACATCACGCTCATTAAACATGAAACACCTCTTACCTCAGCAGGAGAAACTACAGACTACATAGGAGCGAGAGATAATAAAAAAACAGCCATAACCTTCGCCTAAACAGCAGAAACACTCAAAGTTGAGTCAAAATTCACTTCCGCCTTTCTTCGGCCCAAAGTGCATTGTTATCATTCTCAAAAGTACGTCATGTGCGACCATACCGCTGACAAGTAGCCAAAATCACCCTGGGCTCGAGATTGTCCAATCCCGTTGAACCCATGCGTAATCAGAGTAGTCACGCTTAGTGAAAGCAAAGGAAAAATCTGAAGGACAATTGCACGCTATTCCAAGACAAATTGACTGGAAGATCGAAAAGGACGAATAATCCAATATTTAGGACCACAATCATGAATACAGTCGCAAGATTCATCACACTGTTTCAGTGCGCCTCGCTTACGATAATTAATTTTAAACCTGTATGAGTGGACCTTAGACCCCTTAATCTGAAGGCTTTCCAGTGCTGAATAGACAAATAAAACTTTATCACGGTTCAAGGCCTGGTTTGATTTTCCTTTGTTTTTTTC